AACCATTCACTGGAAAACTAAAGTGTGAGGTAGATAATAAATAAACTTAATTAGATGAACAAAAATACATGAAAAGGGTAAACTCCATGTTATCAACATAACTGTTAGCATTGGAAATCTCTCATCTTATGAATACTTGTACAACATTTTATTCCCTTTTACAGTAGCTCAGAGCTAATATTACAGCTAATTTGAACGCCCTTAAATGTATTATATAGGTGACTGTTCCTAACCAGGCGTGGCCTAGTGATTAGCGTTTCGCGTCCTGTTGCCACAACATCGCGTTCCGCACTTTGAGGCGTGGGTGCATTATAAGAGTGACGGTCAAAACTCATTATTTGATTAGAGAAACCCAACAGCTGGCGGCTGGTGGTGTTAACTAGCTGCCTCCCTTCTAGTCTACCAACTGCTCAAAATAGGAATTAAGAATAATTAGCCCAGGTATCCCCAGTGTAGCTTTGCTCAAATGTCTGAAAACCCGGCATGGCCAGATGGTTAGGGCGCTCGTGGGGACGTTATAACGTGACGGTCAATCCCACTATTCGTTGGTAAAAGAGTAGCCCAAGAGTTGGCGGTGGGTGGTTATGCATAGCTGCCTTCCCTGTAGTTTTACACTGCTAAATTAGGGATGGCTAGCACAGATAACCCTCGTGTAGTTTTGCGCGAAATTCAAAACAAACAAACAAATGTCTATAAGAAATGAACAAACAAACTCTTAACCTAAAATTATCATATGAAATCTACAAATTTTTACTTGCTTTGGTAATTATAGATTGATTCAGGTTATTAGTTTTTGGTATTCTTGTTCTTAAAATTGCTTATCTGGATAACTCCAAAAAGAGTTACAAATTGCTAACTTTGAAAAAAAAAGATACATCCCCCACCCCCCAAATTGGCGCCTTTCAGGAACTTAGCTTTCTATCCGTATGATCGTTTTTGCCCCTGTGACGCACGTGATTTTCTTCCCCTGAAAATGACGAAAATTCTTGAATGGATTTTGGTTGTCCTTTTGCGAAAATTTTTGCTGTATTTCTGTCATAATCAAGAATTTTGAACTGTTGCAGATGTATATTAACATTAGCATGAGTAAAACTGGATCTAAAAGTTTTGTTTACTTCAATCTCACTCTTCTTGCATTCGAGAATAAAAGAAACGATTTTTAGTACACGAAGATCGTGATAACTGGAAGAACCGATAAAATTCTTTAAAACATCGACATAGCACAAAATAACGTCTTTATATCAAATCAGAAATTTCTAGAACTGCCATGCGCTACGAATCTTTTATAGAAAGTAAGATATATTACTTTAAAGACAATACTGCTATCCGATTTCTTTGTTTAAAAGATGCTCCTTTCACACTGTTATCATTTAAACGAAAAATTGAGATGCTCGAAATTCTTTAAGACCAGATATGAACTAAGGCATGGCTGTTTGAAAGCGAAGTGTAAAATGGGAGAGTTCTCACTTCTGTACATAAACCCTGAAGCTAAACTCCACGTGTTTAATGTTTACATAACACACTGAATGACCATTATCGTAAACATTTCCACAGTTTATCAATATGTTCAATCACTCGAGGGAAGGCTAATCTAAATCCTACGAGTTCAATGAACGTATTAAACAATATGCTTTCTATATTTACATCACCGGTCAAATACTGTTACACCTTTATATTAAATGTAACTGGTAACCTTACAGACACTTCTTTATCAGAAACGAATAAAACGCAATTTTTCCTTGATATCAAAAGATAATAAAATGATAGTAATATTTATGAGAACTTGAAATGTTTTAGGATTGGAAATAATGAAAATCCACTATTAGCTACTTTTTTTATCATATACATGATTTGGGGTCAAGAAAATAAAGATAATGTTATTGTTGTTTTTTAATCCAGATTATGATTATGTTGAAGAACAGGATAATACTGATGAACAGCAGGATAATGATGTTGAGCAACAGGATAACAATGTTGAAGAACAGTATAATAATATTGAACCACAGGATAATAATGTTGTAGAACAGGATAATACTGTTGAATAGCAGGATAATAATGTTAAAGAACAAGATAATACCGTTGAATAGCAAGATAAGAATGTTGAACAATAGGATAATAATGTTGAAGAACAAGATAACTATGTTAAAGAACAGGATAATAATGTTAAAGAACAGGATAAAACTGTTGAATAATAAGATAATAATGTTGAACAACAGGATAATAATGTTCAAGAACAGAATAGTAATACTGAAGAACAAGATAACTATGTTAAACAACAGGATAATAATGTTAAAGAACAGGATAATAATGTTCAAGAACAGGATAATACAGTTTAATAACGTCAATTATAACGCTGTGACTGGGATAAAATCAGCCGTATTTCATACGAAACCATTATTTTTTCAGACGGTTGAATTTTAATCTGAAAAATCACACTTTTGTTTTTCAAGGTTCTCTTTAAAATATTCCAATGTTTATCCTATTGGTTCTTTGTTTCAGAAGTTTCGCGCAAAGCTAAAGAAAGGGTCATATGCGCATAGCCATAACTAATTTTGAAATGATAGACTAGAGGAATGGCAGCTAGTCGACAGTAACCTTTGTCATCTCTTCAATTACTCTTGGCTTACACACACACACATATATATATAATGATAGAAAATGTAGGATATTTAAACTTAAGGAACAATATTAGCTATGTTACTTAAATATAACATGCGTCGTGTATATATATATATATATATATTTTCAAAAAAAGGAGAAAAGGTACATTGCATAATTACCCACCTTATAGTGTGTATCCAGGTGATACATGTCTGTTTTGTAGCTGTTCGTTTTTTTTTTGTTTCCTGTTCTACGTAATATTACAACTATATATGTATGTATATATAGTTCTATATATACAGTATTCAAAATAATTATGAAAAACAGGGGGAAAGCAAATACTTTAAAAGGCCATATTGATAGTTCATTTTGTAATGGGTATTTTTTCTAACCAATTAAAAGTGCCAAAACAGCGTAATGATTGTAAAAATACAGGAAGAGATACAATGCCTTGAATTAGAAGTATGATCCAATCATGACTCTCAGGACTAATATACCTTATGATAAACGTGTAGAAATCTGCCTGTATGAATGTTTTGCGTCAGAAAGAGTTGTTACATACCCCTTCCCAAAGACGACCAATTTTCGGTGGCATCACATTACCTGAACGCTAATGTCAAAATGTTGTTTTGATGCATTCAGTTCTACCACAAACGTAATGTCGTCCACGGTTTCATGTCATTTGCATATTTAAAACCGTTCTAATATAACGCACTAGTCATTTTTGACTCCTTTATATGCATCAATATGTTCATTATCAATATGTATATGTGTGTACAGTAATAGAAATACATATAAAAGCACACAAGTGCACTCTTTAACTACTAAAGGTCTTTATTCTAGTCGTTTATCTATGTTAAAGAATGCCTTCTAACTGAGAAAACCGGTATAGTATTTGGAATGACTACAGATATTTTTACATATTTAATCTATGAAGAAACGACTAGAAGAAAGACATTTAGCCGTTAAAGACGTTTTAATTTATTATCCACGTAAAGTATTATTCATTTCAAAAGGCTGGACAAAGCCCTTGTAGCAGCGGGTGCTATTGATTGGCTCCTTCCATCTGGTCAGAAGTTTCATATTAGGAGTGGTTATAACTGAATACTAGGGTTTTCTGGCCTGGCCCTTTATTGACCTATGTGTAGTTTACGTTGAAGTTTTAATGCCAGATGATTCAATGCATGGTAGTCATTATAAGTGTTAGTTTTTTCTGTGTATTGATGTATGACACCATATACTTCTGGTCATCTTGTTATGTAGAATTACCTTCATTAATTAATGTTACCTTTTTAGTTTTTTCCATGCAAGTTAACTTACTTTTGATTAGAAGTTATTAATAGTAACCATCAATAGGCTTAAAGCTTAAGAAAAAGTGGTTGCCCAAGCTTACCTATTGTAAATGATTTAAGAAACCATATATTTTCTCTGCGAATTCATTATACATTTATATATCTCAAGTAAATCTCGTGTGCAACAAATCCCTTATTACTGGAGGAACCAAAAAGTTTTCATAGACTAAACAATGCTGAGATTAACAAAAATGAGAATATTTTTAGCCAGAAACGCCATTAATTTAAAAGGAATTACGTGTATGCTCATCAGTAATTATAAATGTATTGTTTTTCAGCTGCAAATAAAGTATTTGTATTTCTTCTCCTGTGAGTATAAATATTTTATGGTTGTTATGATTAAAGAGAACAACATAGGTGTTCAACATTTGCAAGCTAGGAATAAAACTGAAGTATTTACGAATAAGTTGCATATAATATATTTCTAATTCATGCTATAGGTGTTCAACATTTGCAAGTTAGGAATAAAACTGAAGTATTTACGAATAAGTTGCATATAATATATTTCTAATTCATGTTATAGGTGTTCAACATTTGCAAGTTAGGAATAAAACTGAAGTATTTACGAATAAGTTGTATATAATATGTTTCTAATTCATGCTGGTTCTTGATTTTATGAATGTCTACTATTAAATTGTATTTATTCGCACGTGAAACAGAGTTGTAGTACTTCCAGTCTGTAAGGCACACGAATCGAGCAAATATTATTTATATTAAAAATTTAGCAAAGAACACAATTTTTTTAAATACTCTAGCACTCAGTGCTTGTAATTGGTGAAAATGGCCATTTTTAGAGCACTGTGATCCGTAACAAAATGCCATATTTGTACACGAGACAAACACTTACTCTCCTCATCTCACATAAACACGTCAACCTGTGTATACCTTTATGTTATAGGCTACATTTAAAATGAATGCTTTCAAATTAACCACTAGTTCAATAATGTTCAAATCTATGTGATACGGCTAGAAAACATCTGCCAATTCTATATCAATTTTTACCATTCTTGCTGCTAATACACATTTGTATCTCCTTTATATTTTCAGGAGTTCTTCTGAACACGGATAAAGAAGGAATATATGAATAAGGATGGAATATATGTAAAGTGAGGTAAGACTTTTTAGCCCTTTCTTTTATTGCATTGATTTATACAAACCTATCGAATTAAATGTTGGTTTCTGTTGTTTAATGAAGTAAAATTATGGTTACTTACGTGAGTTGCTATTAATTGAAAACCATACCTTTAAAAGCTTTTGCTAAAGACAGTGGACAAAACATTAGTTAAAGCAGTCCCATTTTCCCCAGTGGTACAGCGGTATGTCTGGGGACTTACAACGTTAGAAACCGGGTTTCGATACCCGTGGTGGGCAGAGCACAGATAGCCCCTATGTAGCTTTGTGCATAATTAAAAACAAACAAACCAAGTCCATTCAACCGTTTTCGAGAAACCTTGCTGACTGCTAAATTAGGGACGGCTAGCGCAGACGGCCCTCGTGTAGTTTTGCGCGAAATTCACACCACATCAAAGGTTTCTCCTCATACAGGACATTTATATTAATTTAACGTCCATACAACAGTTTTATAGATTTCAATAGGTAGAGGTTATTTATCAACTTTTGTGTTTTCTATTAATTTTTTGTAAGAAACTCACCCTTTGCGAAAGCCTTTTCTCAACATTTTTTAACATATTCCTCTCCATGATGTCTTAAATTTCATTTTTGTTTTCAGAGTTATGACCATTTTATTCATTTTCACAAAACTTTTATATTTAATTGTCTTGTTGATTAGTCCTAGTCGCTAGTAGATGCGGGCACTCAACATTTTCCACACGACAAAGCAAACCTTCCAATAAATTCTACAGATATTTAGTGGCCATGCAAGAGTGTTTGCTACTCACGTACAAATTAACGTCATCAGCATATTACGATAGGTTACTATTGTAATTAAAGAATGGATCTCGAGAGATGTCATTTCCTTATACAATGTGTAGCAATGGATTTATTACACATGCTTGAGAGACTCTTGATGCAAAAGAGGAACATTTTGAAAATTTCATTTTCACTATTAACTTAATGCTTCTTGCTCTCTTGGGTAATTATACATTAATCTCGGAGCAAATTGAGGATAACTAATATATTTGTGTAATTTATAAATAAGTTGCTCATGCGACATGTTTTTATTCATTCAGAAGAATAACAACTGTAATATAATCAACGCTGAAATCAAGAGTTCGATTCTCCATGGTCGACTAGTTTATTGTGTAACTTTGAGCTAAAAAGCAAAATTGTCAATAGTTTTTCTAGTTTGTCTCATTAGATTTTATTGTTTGCGATTGTCCAAAAGGAAATTTTTAAAGGCTTCAACTTAGGTATCGCCCGAGATTCACAAGTTCTGTACAGCCCATAATTGTACAAGGGCTTTATTTGTTTTTCAGCCCTAATTTTTGTTATGCACAAAAAAGCATATTTAACTTTGTGTTTGCTAATTTTTTACACATGAAATATATTTCTAAATGTTGCTAGTTTGATATTTTCTGAAATAGAGAATAATGCTAATTAAAATATATATATATTCGACTCTGAAAGATATTTCAGGATTTCTGGTGTTATCTATTTCGGCAAGTTGTATAGAAATTACAGTTTAAATGGTTTTATCATCTTAAACGTTATGTCTTTTACTTTATATTATTGTGCTAGTATCATTCCGTCGTCTCGTAGTTTGTATTCCTAGTGACTGCTCGGTATTTTCAGACAAAGAAATTCTGTTTACTCTCGTGAACAAAGTTATCAATTTATGTGATAAAAAAACGTATATCTCAGTGTATCATTCATATGGCTACTCCTGACTATGTTACTGTACACATGCTTCAAATATCTTTCGATAAGTCTACCGGCTTATAACGCTAAAACTTTGTGTAGCTTTGTGCTTAACAGCAAACAAAGAAAATCTTTGTAAAATGTATATTCACTGTCGTGAGTAAACGACAACTTAAAAAACCATACAAATTCTAAAGTAAAATAATCACTTTTTTTCCAGTTTGGAGGATCTGAAAACTGCGTGATTGGAAATCCTGGTAAGTCGTATTTGTTTATTTTCAAACATAAATCTGCACATTGGACTGGCTGTACTGTGTTCGTCGCAGGGATCGAACCCCGAAATTTAGCGTTATAAGTATCCAAACTGTATAAAATTATATATATAAAATTATATCACCAAATATTTTATATTTTATCGATGAGCTACTGGGGTGGAATCTGATTTAATAGTTTCCGATACGTGTTTGACAAGTATTAGTGATTTTTTTTTGTTTACTTATGCTGGAGTATTTATTCAATATATTTTTTAATTTAATGACTACTAATTGTTTCTGGTGACCACAATCCACGGTAGTAATTCTACTGATAAAGTAGTTTCTGTTCTATAATTTTATTCCATCCGAGATAACGATTAATGAGTTATCATTTTTTACAAACACGATTAAGCTTTTTTTTCTTTAAAAAAAGAGAATCTAAATAGTAAAATTATCTAAATAGCGTTGTTTATGGACTCCAAATTTCTAGCTGATATCAGTGAATACAACATTTTTGTCTTCACGTTGATTCCAGAAATTGCATGAGAAAAGATGTTGAAAAAATAAATGGAGAAAAAGAAAATAAACATAAAACAAACTACACGAGTAGAGACTCCAATCGTAATCGTACTGAGGAAAACCATTGGCGATGAGGCTTAACCGAACTGAAGAAAATGCTTGAAAGGAACTGACAGCAAATTACGTTACGTTTAGTTCCTTGCAAAGAAATCCATTCTAACTGTTATTTGGGATAATAGAAAGTAGCTGGCAATAGTTTCTTATGTCATATGTACATTTTTGTAATTTAATATGATTCTGACACGTATCTATAACATTGTATAGTCGATGTTTTTTTAGTGTTTTAGAAACGAAGCTGAGAATAGTCTACAGAGAAAATTCAAGTTTTTCAAAATGCTCATCCCTTCAGAGTATGAAGTCTAAGTAACAACGCTCGTGAATCCCACCCTTAAGCCATTTCGTATAGGATATCGAATATGTTCAATAAGCACATAGCGTTTACTTTAAACTCCAAAACATTATATAGGGTTTGATCTAAAGACTGATACGAATCGATAAAAGAAACTAGTTACTATATGTAATCGTAATCTTAGCTTGAAAAAGAGACTAGGAAGAACTAAAAGATAAACAACCGACTTTGAAGATTAGCTTGAAAAAAGAGACTAGGAAGAACTAAAAGATAAACAACCGTCTTTGAAGATTAGCTTGAAAAAAGAGACTAGGAAGAACTTAAAGATAAACAACCGTCTTTGAAGATGTTCTTTTCAACTTTTTTATTATCGTTTTAAATAATATTAATGCTTTGATTTTAAATATTCGAAGTTAAATAAAATATGTTACTGAACAGTATATTATTTTTTTTCTAATATAAAATCATCCCAAAGTAAGAAAAAAATCAACAAAGAAAAATGTGAGAGTCTTAGGAATTTTTAAGAAAGAAATATGAAACTTAATATTTCCAGTCAAAAATTCAAATCGTCAAGCTCTTTAAAAACATTTCTGGTTGAACAACTTTAAAATATTGTATGATCGATCTCTTATTCATTTTTACAGCTCCCCTAGTGTCAAATAGGTAAGTATGAAGGCATATAACTTAACGCTAAATATCAGGTTTCGATACCCGTGGTGAGCACAGTACAGATATCCAATTGTGTAGCTTTGTGCTTAACTAAAAAGAAACAAACATTTCTTAGGAATCATTTATATTTAGGTAAATAAAATAACGAAATATATATATATATATCCAGAATGTATCTCTATCAGTTCAATATTTCGCTATTACAGCTTCGTTAGGAGTTACTGATATCCTACCAGTTCACTAATCCAGTTGATTAGCAAATTTGTAGGATATCGATAGCTCCTGACGAAGCTGTAATAGCGAAATATTGAGATAATAGATACATTCTTTTGATATAGGTCGTTATTTTAATTCCCTTAATATAAATGTATCTTAATAAACTTCAGTTTGGGTTAAACAAAGTTAAGAATTAAGTAAATGTATAAAGTGACTAATTTTTTGAGCGGCAAATTATATACTCATCTCTGCCCTTGGTGAAAACCTGACAGATCCGGTGAATGTATACAAGTAAAAGTGAAATTTCAGTCTATGATGGGCTTTCTTATTTAAGCTCTTGTAATGCATTTTGAATGTCTTACCTTAAAAGTTTTGAAGGTTATTTTAAGGAGGCTACACTTTTCCGTCTTTTTCTTTCTTGAAAACCTACAAATTTGCTAAAAATGAGCAAATATTTCTGCGAAGATTTTTAGTAGCATTCATTCTCTCTCCAAGAAAATTGTTGCAAGACAGGGGAAGTGAGGAGGTGTAGCAGTCGAGTCGAGAAACTTGGCAGAAATGGCAAAGCAGTTGCGTCACTTCTTGTTCCAAGCAGCCCATTTCACAGTAGAGATGTGGTCAAGGTTTCTACTATCTGAAATTGGTACATTTAATGCATTAAATGTAAAAATAATTTTTAATTTTGTTTCTACGGAAAACTATATTCTACAATAAGAAGTAAGAAATATCCTACAATATATTTCCATTATGAAATACTTCTCTGGTTCAGGCTTAAACACTAATTTTAACTCGAGTATACACCGGAAGTTAAATGGTGTGAATTAGAAAAGACCGAGAACTTAAACAGGAGCAATATCTTTATTCTCCGCATTGTAGCTGGATATTTTATTACTGTATATGTTGGTTATTATGGGAAACAAGCCAAAATACTGAATATTTTGTTTACAATCTCTGACTTATAAAATTCTGTTGTTTTGTGAGTTTTGCTCAAACTCAACTAGTTATAATAACTACTGCAGTAACGATATAGGCGATATTCTATAAAATATTCTTATTTTTCAACATATAGGAAAGTTTAATGAGTAAGAATTTGGTTGTATTTTGGACTATTAAGTTAGCATACCAAGTTTGGTCTGGATCGGTCGACTCATTTAAGAATAGATGCGTCCACAGACAGACTGAAATTTTCCTTGATATTGGATGCTTTCCGCATGGGTATGGCTTAATATGTATATGTGAAGAACGCCTGTACCCCAGTTTTTATACTTAGCTCGGTAAAGCTGGATAATAGTTTCTTAAAAATGTTTTCTGGAAATGTTTAGAAAATTTCTATAATTACAAATTATTACGAAGAAATATTAAGTCATAATTTAGTAAAATGGACCAATTGTAGAATTTTAGTAGTACAGTCTAGTAGGGTAACTGTTTAAGGTATTGTGATACTGAATAGATGTAGCAATTAAATACTGTTATGTATTCTGAAAGTTCGAATATTAGGTAGTGATATGGCAATATAGATGTAGAAATTGGAACTTGCAAAGGTTTTATAAAAATACAAACTTTATATCTGCTAAAGTTACTAATCATGACAAAAATTGATATCCAATCAACAAGACTTTACAAGAGGAGCTTTATAGTAGCGTTAGTTACCAGTATGTTATATAATAGAGATGAAAGAATGGAACAATGTTATGGTTTTACAGTAGCGTTAGTTTCCAGTATGATACAATAGAGATGAAAAAATGGAACAATGTTACGGTTTTGCAATAGTGTTAGTTACCAGTATGATACAGTAGACATGTAAGAATGGAATATTGTTACGGTTTTGTAATAGCGTTTATTACCAGTATGATACAATATAGATGTAAGAATGGAATATTGTTACGGTTTTGTAATAGCGTTACTTACCAGTATGATACAATAGAGATGTAAGAATGGAATATTGTTACGGTTTTGTAATAGCGTTTATTACCAGTATGATACAGTAGACATGTAAGAATGGAATATTGTTACGGTTTTGTAATAGCGTTAGTTAACCATTTATCTGGTACTTCTATATTTTTTTTTATAACAGCTAAAGCGCTAGTGGTTTGTAATACACTACAAAACACTCTGCTGATATTCAAACTAAAACTAAAAGTTTTTGTTATTCAACCCCTGTAATGTACAGTTAGATTCCAAAATTAGATATGATAAGTTTCGGTGTTCATTAGCTACATATCTAGAGTATTATAGCATAACAACATATTTGTGTTTATTATAAAACCGTAGCAGGATTCAATTTTTACATTTGTACAGTATCATACTAACATTAGGAGCTCTAACTCTTTAGTGTAATTGTTTCTTGTTTAAATATTTAATAATTGAACTCTTTCTTGTTTTCTTTTTAAAATTGAATATTTTTAGGTCACACTTATAACTGACGAAAAACTGTAAGAAATATTAAACTTCTTTCCTACAGCTGTAAAGTAACATTTTGAAAGGAATTAATTTTTACCATTTGAACTCAAATATTCGAATATTATCATATATTAATATATAAGCCATAGTTATTGGAAATATTCACAGACATATTTTATATTTACCAAAGGAAACACGCAATAGATTTAACACTCCAATAAACAAAGAGGTATCACTTGTGAATAATGCAAAATACAATAATTAAATAGTATTTACATTTGTTGAACAAAGTAAGGAAACACTGTCTGTGTGACTGATTAAACTTTTTAACAAGATTAAGTAAAGCAACGATGAAATTGAAGTACGTGCCACTAGAATCATGGACCTCCAATGGTAACCATGGGAACAAACTCGCGTGCTTAGCCAAATTAGTTCACATTTATGATAGAATTGATTCATGCTAGTCTTTATGAGACTACACAGAAATATATATATATATGCTATTCACTGTAAGCTAATATTCCAGCAGTCGGAATACAAGCAGCTGTTAGCTTAGGCAAGCACTCCCAAGAATTCCCTATGGTTCGTTTTTGTTTCGTTTCAATGTGATTAATGAAGCAAACCAATTGAAAATTGTTGTAATGAAACTTGGTAAAGATTACGTCTGTCCCATGAATAAATATGACTGGAAAAATTAAGTATTGTGATTATGTCTGGTAATTTTCTTCCCTATAGATTTGTACGTATGTGAAATTCAAGATATAATCACTGTTTTACGGCAATACATATA